CGTATCTAGACTTTGTGAAGGATGTCGGAGCTGAGACTCCCAGTATTGATTTTGTTCCAGTTGTGAGGGATTTTCCCGATGTGTTCCTTGCAAACCTGTCGGGCATGCCACCGGACAGGGATATTGATTTTGGTATTGACCTGGTGCCAGGCACTCAGCCCATTTCTATTCCGTCGTACCGTATGGCACCAGCGGAGCTGAAGGAGTTAAAGGAGCAGCTTACCGAACTCCTTGATAAAGGTTTCATTCGTCCTAGTGTGATGCCTTGGGGTGCGCCGGTTCTATTTGTGAAGAAGAAGGATAGCACTATGAGAATGTGCATTATTTTAGGCAATTGAACAAGGTAACAGTTAAGAACAAGTACCCTTTGCCTCGTATTGATGATTTATTCGACCAGCTTCAGAGAGAAAGAGTGTTCTCCAAGATTGATCTCCGTTTAGGCTATCACCAATTGAAGACCAGGGACTCGGATATTTTTAAGAAAACTTTCAGGACCAGATATGGTCATTATGAGTTCTTGGTGATGTCTTTTGGGCTGACTAATGCCCCAGCAGCGTTCATGCATTTGATGAACAGCGTGTTCCGGCCTTATCTTGACTCGTTTGTCATAGTCTTAATTGATGATATTCTGGTATATTCGTGTAGTCAGGAGGAGCACACAGAGCATTTGAGGGTTGTATTGCAGAGATTGAGGGAGGAGAAGATTTATGCAAAGTTCTCCAAGTGTGAGTTTTGGCTTGGTTCAGTGGCATTCTTGGGACACGTAAGGATATTCAGGTTGATCCAAAGAAGATAGAGGTGGTCTAGAGTTGGCCCAGACCGTCCTCAGCCACATAGATTCGCAGCTTTCTTGGTTTGGCGGGTTATTATCACCAGTTTGTTCAGGGATTCTCATCTATCGCATCGCCCTTGACCAAGTTGACTCAAAAGGGTGCTTTATTTGTATGGTCGGACGCGTGTGAGGAGAGCTTTCAGAAGCTCAAGACAGCTTTGACCATAGCTCCAGTGTTAGTTTTACCGTCAGCTTCAGGTTCATATACCGTGTATTGTAATGCTTCGAGGGTCGGTATTGGTTGTGTATTGATGCAGGAGGATAGAGTTATTGCTTATGCTTCTTGTCAGTTGAAGCCCCATGAGAAGAACTACCCCGTTCATGATTTGGAGTTGGCTGCCATAGTTCACTCGTTAAAGATTTGGAGGCATTACTTGTATGGTGTGTCTTGTGAGGTGTTTACTGATCATCGCATCCTCCAGCACTTGTTCAAACAGAAGGATCTCAATTTGAGGCAGCGGAGGTGGTTGGAGTTGCTTAAGGATTATGATATCACTATATTGTACCATTCGGGGAAGGCCAATGTGGTAGCCGACGCTCTAAGCTGAAAGGCAGTGAGTATGGGGAGTCTGGCATATATTCCAGTTGTGAAGAGACCTCTTACAGTTGATATTCAGGCCTTGGCCAATCGGTTCGTGAGGTTGGATATTTCGGAGCCCAATCGTGTGTTGGCTTTTGTGGTTTCTCGATCTTCCTTATATGATCGAATCAAGGAGCACTAGTATGATGATCATCATTTTCTTGTCCTTAAGGACAGAGTTCAGCAAGATGATGCCAGAGATGTGACCATTGGCGATTATGGGGTGTTGAGGATGCAGGGCCAGATTTGTATGCCCAATGTAGATGGGCTTTGGGAGTTAATTCTGGAGGAGGCCCATAGCTCGCGGTATTCCATTCATCCGGGTGCCGCGAAGATGTATCAGGATTTGAGGCAGCACCATTAGTGGAGAAGAATGAAGAAAGACATTGTGGAATTTGTAGCTCGGTGTCTCAGTTGTCAGCATGTGAAATACGAGCATCAGAGACCGGGTGGCTTGCTTCAGCAGATGGATATTCCACAGTGAAAGTGGAAGAGGATCACTATGGACTTTGTAGTTGGACTTTCACAGACTTTGAGGAAGTTCAATGCTATTTGGGTGATTGTGGATCGGCTGACCAAGTCCGCGCACTTCATTCCTGTGTGTACTACCTATTCTTCAGAGCGGTTGATAGAGATCTATATTCGGGAGATTGTTCGGTTGTATGGTGTCCCAATTTCCATCATTTCAGATAGGGGGCACTCAGTTCACTTCGCAGTTTTGGAGGTATGTGCAGCGAGAGTTGGGCACTCAGGTTGAGTTGAGCACAGCTTTTCACCCTCAGACGGACGGGNTCTCGGAATGCAGATTTTATGGCTCAGATATCTTCGTTAGGTGATTTGGGACTTAGGAGTGTGTCCAGAATATTTTTGTGATGTCCGGTGTAGAATTAGGCTTGAATTAGCGAAAGTTAGTTTTTGGCGATTTTCGGTCGGCAGTGGAAAATAGGCTATCGGGGTCGGAATGGAATTTTGACAGTTGGAACAGGTTTGTAATATCATTTTGGATATGTCTGCAAAATTTCAGGACAATCGGAGTTGTTTTGGATAGTTTCGGCGTCATTGGTGGAATTTAGGAATTTCAAAGTTCATAGGCTTGAATTTGATGTGATTTTGGTGTTTTAATGTTGTTTTTGGTGTTTCGAAGGCTCGACTAAGTTCGAATGATGTTATGGGACGTGTTGGTATATTTGTTGAGACTTACGAGGGCCTCACGTGGATCTCGAAAGGTTAACGGATCAATCTAGTACATATTTTTTTGGCTGCTATAACTATATCCATTATGTAAATTAAATTAAAAAACTAAATTAATAATTTTAAATAATAAAATAAAAATAAACACCAAAGAAGAGAAAGAGATGGAACGAGTGTACCGAGAGTCCGTATACCGCACTAAATTTGATACCACACTTCAATTGATATTTAATGATATTGATACCACACTTCACTTGAATACTTGATATTTGATAATTATAATTTGTAGAGGCTAAAGTAAATATTTGATGAAACTTGAAATAATAAGTAACTGAGAACTTGAGAGCAATAAACAATATTATCAAGAGAGAATTAGAGTAGTAAGAGAACAAATTTTGAGAAAAAAATGAAGAAGATGGGGGACTATTTATAGTTTTTAAAAGGTTAAAAATATAATTTATCAATTATTATTGGTGGGGGCTATTTTCTTAAGGGGTAGGGCGAAATGGCCAAAATTGCAAAATATGACACTTTCATTTTTTGAATTTGACCGTTGGCAACAGTCAAAAATAAAAATATTACATAACAGTAACCGGGTTGTAGTCCGGTAAAAACTTGGTAGTAGGTTACCGAGCTTATCGGGTTCCGGGGCACCGATTACCAAAAATGGCCAGCCCCTATCTGGCTAAACCCCTAACCCTAACCAACCCGTCCCACCTCCTTAACGGACCGGGCTAAACCGGGTCGAACCGGGTTGGGAGTGTGCTGGCGCGGCTCGTTTAACAGGTTTAGTTTGGACCCTTAAGATATCCAAGAAAAAGTAATGATTTAGTGCCAAAAGAAAACAATAAAGTAGTCTATTTCTGTACCTGAATCAGGTATGAAAAAACGTGTGGGATGGAGCAATGAGACTCATGAAGTTGAAATAAGCAAATTAACTTTGTTTGGGAGAAGTCGATGTCAATTATATTCTTAGCTAGTGCTTTCTCAACCTAACAATAACCTGCTCTCTTTTGACTTTCACTTATACCAATACCATTTAACGTATTAGGATTAAAAAGGTCAACAATGTCATGCTCCTCTCATTAATTGCATGGGCTCCATAGTCGACTTCCATCCAAATTATAGTCGTAGGCTCAATACCATGATTGATAATCCCTTGGTAGGAATAAAATCTCTTCATTTTTAATCAAAAATCATTAGTTCGAATATAACTAGTTGGGAAAATGATGAAATCTCTAATAATAAGAAGTATTTTCCTTTTTAACAGGTTTTATGCTATGTGAATTTAAATTACTCGGACTTATAAGTACTTACTGTATTGGATGCCAGATAGTAATATAATAGAGAAGAATTAATTAAACAAATTGAGAAACCCCAATTTAAAAGAAGAGAAAGAAAATACTAAGGGCTTATTTGGTACGACGGATAAGGAATAATTAATTTCGAGATTAAATTTGAGTTAAGTTTATCTCACGTTTGATTGGGATAAAATTGTGATATAACTAATCTTGGGATTAGTTATCTCGAAATTGTATTATTATTTTTATTCTTATGAAAGGGTGAGATGACAATCTCGAAATAACTAATCATGTAGTAATAATTAAGACTGGAATAATTTATTTCCAACCAAACGATCCCTGAAGGAGTAAAGGAACGTGTTTCATAAGTTAGGATATGCTTCCAATAATGCATGATATTTTCGGCGTGCTAATAGAAAATAGTTGAAACTGTCTTCACTTTCCATAAACAGCAGTTATCTGGGAACGCTCTGTGGAATTAAACACGACTGGTAGAAGCAAGAAAATATAGGATGTGTAACTTTTGGAGATTTCGAGCAGCGTGGCTTAAGATTATAACCTAAAAAGGGACCGTTAAGTGTAATATTTTTTAAGCGGTAATATGGTCACTATAATAGTAAGTCAAAAATTTATTATTTTTGTTACATTAAAGTAACTAAATTTAATTTACCAAATAGTAAAATCATAGTAATTTTTGTCACATAAGAGTAACGGAATATGTGAATCCTCTAAACATAAAAATTAGTGACTGGAAAGTCAAATTTCCAATTCAAAAATAAATACATATGAACTAAGGTTACCTTAACTAGAAAAGAGTCTTAGTTTATAAAACCTCAAATTACATTGATTCATAGAACTCATCAAAGATGTCATCTTGACCTAATAATACCATTCACTTGGAACTGCCTCATCCACATATTGAAAACTGAAAACCCTCCATTCCTTTGTATTCTGGTGTCCCATATCAACATGTTCTCTAATTAATAGCTTCCTTTTAAGGGGTTCTAGCTACCCTTTCCTTCTTCAAAAACCAGTTTAAACTTCTATGTGCTAACAGTATAAGACAGACATTTATTTGCTATAAAAGGTAAAATTATACTAATAAATTCAAATTATATAAATTGCAAGTGTGTATACTTTAAATCCATTGTCAAGGATTTGCACTGAATTCCCAATCTAATGCATTCTTCCTTTAGTACTTCCCCACTTGCACAACATTAAAACAAATTAAATGCAGTATCCAGGAAAGAAATAGACTAGGCAGGGATAGGGACGGATCTAGTAGCGTAGATGAACCCATAACTTTTAGTCTAGACCTAGAATTTTCTGTGTAAAACTTCTGAAATTGCTGAAACTATTGAACTATGAACCCATAAGGGCCATAACTCACGCTAGGTAATGGGCTCGTTCTATGGTCGGAACCCGAGTCCTGAAACCATAGCATTAAAATTCTGGATCCACCTCTGTGACTAGGATGGCTCTGGTTTAGGGAACCATGAGCCATATTCTTGACCTTGGTGTTGATGATAATTATAGGGAGAATTAATGAGGAGATTTTGGTTGCTTGTGGGATTAAGCATTTGGGCAAAGATTTCTGGAGGAAAATTTGGCATTAACTGTGATGAGGATAAGAATGAAGGTGACAACATTGAAGCTGCATTGCCTCTAAGAGTTGCTGGACAATGATGGTTGTGTTGGCCTTCGTATGTAGTGATTACGATTGATGGATCTTCGTATGATCTTTCCACACGTTTCTTCACATTGCATTTTTGAGTCGTGCATCTGTAATAATTCCTACAAAATATACCAGCAGCAAAGTGAAAGCACTCTGGTCAAATTAAAAAAAAAAGACAGGCAGCCCGGTACACTAAGCTCCCACTATGTGCGGGGTTCGGGGAAGGGCCGTACAACAAGGGTCTATTGTACGCAGCCTTACCTTGCATTTCTACAAAAGACTGTTTCCACAGTTTGAACAAGTGACCTTCAAATTGGTTTCGTTAAATAATCTTTTTAATTTTAAGTTCCGTGCACAAACATTATATATATAGTCAAACCTCTCTATAATAGCGTCTTTGTTTTGACATTTTTTGGCTGCTAGACAAAATATATTATAACATAACATGGAAAATTGGTTCAATGAAATACTAGCTTGGCCGTTACAGTATTGTTATAGAGGATGATTGTTATAGAGAAGTTTGATTATAGTTCTTTTTCACACTATCACGTTAAGTTGACCTATAATAATGTGTATGTAACTCTTCATAGAAAACCTAGTACCAAAATTAGTTTTAATATTGGGGGTAATCACCTGCTGTGTATTCGGTTAAATTGTACCAACAGTAAAAATAAAAAATAAAAAAGTTACGTGTGATCGTATATAACTTAAATCCAATCCTTTTGGCTTAATGTCTTTCTTGCAATGGAGCAAAATTTCATCTAGTTTGAGCTACAAGTTTGAACATGAAACATGCCTGTGAACATTATCAGATTCATGTACTTCGTAATCAAAGATTTTGAATAGTAACTTAAGCAACGTTAAATAATGAATAATAAGCTCACATATATTAGTCCTAAATATTGAAATTAGCTGAGATTGAATTTTATTGAATGAAAGATGCTACCTTGGGAAAGGGCTGTTCTTCACTGCTTTCTGTCCATATTTTCGCCATCTATAACCATCTTCAAGATTATCAATCTCACTTTTGGTCATGAAGGCGAATCTTGGTTCTTTTGGCTTCTTTTCTCCTTTCGTTTTTGCTTTGCTCCTGAAATAAATTATCAACAATTTTGTAGACAAGCAATTTTTCTATCTTAGGTAAAAATTTATGAATTTTATCTTTAATTTAACTGCATTAAATTGGCAGTTCAGAAAAAAGAATTAGGGTTTTATATGTTGAGTACCAAGATACTAAAATTATAAAAATATAAACAATTAGGACAAGGGGCGGACAGTCAAAATATTAAGGGAAAATGACATTGTAGCCACTCACAAAATAAAAAAAGTAAAAAATAATCCTTTTTGTATGCTATATACAAAAAAACATACAAATTTTATATACTTTTTTGGCTACTGAAAGTAAACACTTTCTATTGTCCGCTAAAAGTGATCTTTGGCCAAATATTAATTTCCATATACTCGATAGAAACTTGGAGAATAGTCAAGATTCCACCCAAGGAATAACATAGAAATTAAACTATGACTAGAATTAGTTCAATTAATATATAATCTAATCCTTGAAGATAAGAAAGAAACGTCCCTAACGAGAAATTGTTAATATTATCATATGTGAGCAAAAATGAAAAATGACTCACTCTTTCTTAGACATGCCATCTCCTTCTTCTTGACACCCTTTTCCTTGCATAAGTTTCTTGCTTTTGGAAGAATCTTCTTCCCCTCCAGCCTCATTAGAGGTAGAAGAAATCGAAGAATTTGTTGTTGGTGGAATTTCAACACTAGTTCCTTCCAGAGGCGAATCTAAGACGAGTTCTGCAGGAGAGACGACACTACTTTTCCTAGAAGAGTAGTCTTGACGATCAATTTGTGGACAAACAACTTCAGAGGATGAACAAGACATGCCAAAAGCACTTGATAAAGTGTTATAGTCCATAGAACTATGTAAACACTCAGTAAGAGTCATATAAGAAGAAGGAACAAATTGTTGATGTGGATTTTGAATATGATTAGGAGGTGGATGGTTATAATTTGAGGAATTTTCACCAAAGAAAGGAAATGTATTGATCCCTTCAGTTCCCATGTAATCATGATAGAAAGGGTTGTTAGACATATTGGAGAAAATGGTATTGGGAGTATTTAAGAAAAATAGAATCAAGACTAACAAAAGAAGAAGATATTAATCCTAATATTTTTTAGCCTTAACTTTAAGGGGAAGAGAGAAAAATTAATGTAGAAGATCAAGAAGAAGAAATAAAGAAGGAATGGAACTACTCAAGATTCTTAAAGAAAATCTTGTACACTATGTTTGTGCAATTATAAGAAAATAAAGAGCTAATAATGGGCTAGTATAGCTTGTTAGGAAGTAGAAATGGATGGTCCTTTTGAAGAAAAATAGAACTCAGGAAGTTTCAAAAGTAGTAAAAATGACTTTAATTTGCTTCATATATATAATACCCCACATAATATAATTTTTGGAAAATTCCCAGGAAACACGTTGCCGCTATCTTTTGGGTGCATACTGGTAATCTGCTTACTATGCAACAGCTCGTAAATCATACAGAAGATGTAAAATGCACTAATTAAGTAATCCAGTGCAACAAGCTCTGACTAAGAAAGCTTATGACCCCACATAATATTGATAAACAAAGAATTCAATGATTACCTTTAATGAAATTAAATTAAACATGTCATAGAAGTCATGAGAGAAAGTCTTAAAAGATATTTCAAACTGGAAAGTGTAAATTTCCAAGTAACAACAATACTTAAATTGGACGATGTTCCTTTCATTAGGTATATTTGAATATACAGGATCGTTGTCTTTATCATCACCTAGTAAATAGTAATTAATATTTTCTCCAAGTGCGTAAATGTTTATGTGAGTTTAATGAGAAATATAGTTCTCGTAGACAATAAAAAGGAATAGAATTAGAGTAAAAAAAAATTGTGAATAGTCTAATTAATCTGTAACTTCTGTTGTTTTCATGAAGAAAAAGACAACAAATTAATCCCCCTCATATTTGGCGATTGGTCTAAAATAATCCTTTAAATTTACGCTTGAGTAGTACTTATAGCCCTTTATATTTTTTATAATTGACCACTTTTAATCTCCGTTATATTAAAGCATATTGATTAGCCCCTTCTATGCATTATTTTAGTTTGTTGTTTAGCACCACTTAGCTTCTAGTACGATAAATTTCATTTGTCCCATTGTTAGAGGCTGAAACATTCACGACGTCTATCACGGAACAATAAAGTAATTAATGATTTAAATTCGAACTGTAATATAAAATATGTAATATCCTGTAGTAGTTATTATCCAATTAAATTTTTCACAATCATTTGTTAATTATTTTTCTTTTCCAATAAAAACAACACAAAGTAAATCACGACGAAAGGAGCATAAGGTAAATGGTTAACGAAAGGGTATGTGTTAGATCTTTAACACTGAACTTTGAAAATTATACTTTTAGATCTAATAATTTAGAAAAAAATTGTATATAAATATATATTTTGAGTTGAAAATATTTAAATTCAGATGAAGGGGTGCAGTGCATCAAACGCTCGGGAATTGGCACCCGCCATTTCACCGTCGACATCAAGGCACACGGGCACGTGGGAGACTTTTCGATTGCATGCCTTACGTCCTGCTGATAAATTCCGTCCGTCATCCTCATGGCCAAATATTCATTTTCTAGTTGTTATTAGCTGGATGTTAAAAAATATTTATTAAAAGAAGAATAATAATTTTAATAAATAGAATAGTGTTTTTTATAAAAAAAAAATCCAATTTTAACTGCAAAGGAATCCAATACAATTTCACTCTTTTGAGTCGAAACTTCACAACTCAAATTCCAGAGAAGGCAATTTTGTATGAAACTCCATGTGTATACAGAAAAAGTCTATCAAACGAGGAAAAGACAGTCATTATCTGAACTCTCACTCAGTATGCTGGAGCTTCACAACTAATAGTTCTGAAATCCAGCATGTTATACTGAAGTTACACCTATAGGAAATTTTCGAACTTCAAGAACAAATCATGGAGTTTTTATTAAATCCAGCATTGAACAAATCATGGAGTTTTAAATCCAGCATACAATGCTGGGGTTTTGCCTTTAGGTTCCAAACTTCGTGCATACTATGTTGGGGTTTTACTTGGGTATTTGCATCTTTACCCGCTTTTTGTGTCACATTTTAATTTGTGTCCGCTTTGCAAAAAAAATTACAAGCGTACCCGCTTTTTCGCATAACTCAGCATACGAGGCTAAAGTAGCAAAGGCAATCACGCAAAACTTCAGCATTCTAGTAGACGGGCCTGAAGTAGCAAGTGTGTTGAACCAAGTGCGCTGAAGTTTTTGCTTTGTAACTGGCAAACTTCAGCTCTCACTACTAGAAAATAAACCTATTTGCATCGGTTATTTAGCAACGGTTATATAACCCTTGCAGTAGATGGTCTATTGCAAGGGTTATAAGCTTCGCAATAGCCTCTAGAGCCTATTAAGACAGTACTAAAACTAAACCGTCGCAGTAGTATAATAACCGTTGCCACATACCTGTCTATGGAGACAGTTTGGTAAAATAACTCTGTGGGGACGGTTTTTGTAAAAAGGAGGATCTAATTTCCCTCCAATTATTTTACTAAACCCGCGAATGCTCCTTTTTATAATTAAAAAAATAATTTAAAAATACAGAATTATACGTATCAAACTAAAAGAGGGGTCTTCTTACCTCTTTTCTATTCAATTGATTCACTAGAACAAAAAAACCCTCCAGCTTCTTCAAGAGAAAAATGGCCTCCAAATCCAGCGAAGGATTTCCATCACCGAAGGATTTCGACCAGCAAAGGATTTCGATTCATATTACTCTCTACCACAATAGGTCTGCATGCTCTCCTCCATAGCTTATAAATTCCCCATTTCTAGATTTTCCATTCAAGTGTTTTTGGAAAAGCTTGAAGAATACACAAATGGGTTTCTATGAAGTTACTGTCTTTTGTTCTAATTTATGTTTGATTTTTAGTTTTAGTGTGGTTTAAAGTTTGTATCTCAAATTTTGGTGAAGATTTGAGTTTTCTGTGAAAAAAATTGTGATAAAAAATCAAAGAAGATTGCTTAAATTTTGGGTTTTAGTAAAATTGGAGTTTGAGAAACTGGGTTTCAATTCTTTGAGCCAAAATTTTATTCGAAGTTTATTTTGTACTGAATATTGAGTTTACTGCTGTTTGGGAGGAATTAAAGTGACAAATACCCTTCAAAACTCCATTGTTGAGGTCGACAATATTCTAAAACATAAATAGAAAAATTCAAAGTTGGGAGAGTTAGAGCAAATTGCTGTATATATATGGGAATTTTACTTTTTTTGTTTGTTTTCTGGTTGTTTGGCTCTTGTGTTCAAAAATGGGTGTTGAGGGGTAAGTTTGAGAAATGTATTGTATGTGTATTTCCTCGTAGAACTGTTCTATGTGCAAGGAAATATTACATTTTGTTATCTTAATGATTGGTGTGATTGGAGAAGAGAAAAGTATGTTAATGTTAATCTTATTAGTGTTAATCTTAAACCTCTTTGTGTATGAAAATGCTATTCTTTTTCTCATAACAAAGAATGTACAAGTTTTAGGTATGGATATAGTTTTTGTCCTCTACTCAATTCTTGAATCTGTTTGTTGGGTGATATATGTGTCGTCACTTATGAGGTCATAGTGTGGAGTTCACTATAAAGTTATTGCATAATCTAGATTGCTGATATAAAATTCTTGCCTTATGTATGCATTCATACGATTTAGTGAATGCTATTTTTATTTTTAGGAAGCCATGTTAAATTTTTATATCATTACAGAAAGGGAACAAGCAATTGTTAGCTATATACTTTAGCGTATTATGGTTGAATTTGTTTTATTTTTGTAGCTAAACCCCACTATTAGTGGAAAAGAAGTAACTTGAAGGTGATAAAAGAAGCACTTGACATAAATTGGGTAAGATTTCCATTTCCTTTTCTCTCAGGCAAGTATCTGTGAAACTTGCATGCCTCTTCTAGAGAGTGAAATCGTTGAAACTAAAATTATCTACAGCATTGTGCTCCGCAACATTATGAAAAGCATCCCAAAATCTTTGTTCATCCTAGTGATGACATTTATCTTCTAGATTCTGAAACGATATTGCATTTGGTTTAGTTACTATTTCAAACTACTAATATTTCATGTTTATACATACCTTAGAATAATGTCACTACAGCTGAATAACTATTAAAATTAATGTGAAATATGGTAGTTAAATGTCAATACAAAGAGCTATTAGATGATAAATATACCGAAACACACATATGTATAGTTGAAGCTTATGATGAACCTTATTCTCGCTATGGCTTAGCTACCTAATCAGATGCACTTTTCCATTTTGTTGGTTGGCGGGAGATTTTTGTAAAAGATGTAGTAAAATATTCGAGGAGAAAATATAAGAATTTTTGTCTCGATATGCTTGGGGAGTGGAAGTCCGGTGCCCTCTTAGAATTTTATTTACTCTGTTTTTAATTATGTTTTGTTGAAAATATGATAAATCTGTTTATCAACAGCACAATTTATATTTCTTGTAATGCTAACATTAAAAGTTGGAGCACAACATAGTTGACCTTAGAAATTTTTTTTTAAAAGTATCTGTATGGATTAAAAGTTGGTATTCAGATTTTATTTTGCTAACATAAGATGCGAAAGTCATTGGCTAGTCAAACAACTAGAATATATTAGGAGTAGTCAGAAGTAAAATTTAGGATATTAGGTTCTTATGTTGCAAGATATGACAAATTGAGAAACGAAGATGACAAAGGTAAACTAAGAAGATTTGTTTTCATGCAGAAGACCAGGCAGATCCAATATACTTCTAAAAAAGATTTCTTTTTCCCCCACCCACAGCCCTTTTGTCTCTCTTTCTTTCTCCTTTTATTCTTGCTTTTAATGTTATTTCAACTCAGTCACTACTTTTATGTGTCATCACATGCTGCTTTTACTAGATCTGGATATTACACTTAGCATTGTGTTCGAGGACCTGTTTTACTAGACTTACTATTACTTTATTACTATTTTAAATTTTGACTGATGAATTATATTACTTTTAAAAGTAACTGATTTATGTATTCTCAAATTTTTACAGGAAGCTGAAAATGGTATTATCAAACGCCTCTGCCTCTCTGTAGCATGTGGCGAGCTGTAGCGTCGCTTTTTTGCAAAAAAAAAAAAGAGAAGAATACAGCAGCAGCGATCTGTTAAAACAAAAATTAGGGCTCGCTATTTCTTTACTCTTTCTCCTTCTAGTCGACAGCAGACCAGCAATTTCCTTTATTCTTCAAGTTTCTTCATCGGGTATGCTTCTCTTCACCTCTTTTCTTCTTTCTTCTCCTTCATTCATCTCCTTTCTTCTTTCTTCGAGTTTTTGTTCTGTGACTTCGTCGAAATTTTCTCTTTTTTCTTTCTTCTTCTTCTTCTATTCTTCTTTCCTTTTTTTTGGGCTTTGTTTTTTGTCGTTGCTGGTTCAACAGAACAGAGCCTGTGTTGCGCTGTTTTTTTTTTCATTTTTCTTCTTCTTTCTTTTTTTTCTTTTTTTTTGTTCTGTTTTTGATCACTACTGCTGCACTCAATAGAACAGCCTGAGAAAAGCTCTGTTTTTTCTTCAGTTCAGAGAGCTTCTTCAGTTCTTCTTCTCTTCTTCTTTCTTTTTTCAGCTCTGTTTTTTGTTTTTCAATTTTCCACAGCTTCACTTTGGATTTTTGAATTTTAATTATGAATTGATATATTTATAATATATTATATTGAGTTATTAGTAAAATCCTCTTGAAAAAAGATCCCAAAGTTTGGTAATTTTTATAAAATCCTCCTTCTGAAAGGTCCCTTTTAGATGCTTATGGTCGAGTATATGTCCCAAAATTACCAGTATATTTCTGAGTGTAAAATTGAAATCTAAGAGGTAAATTGATTCCTTTGTAATTCTAAGAGGTAAATTGATTCCTTTGCAATTCTATTACTTTCCAATAAAATTCTCCCTCATGTCATCAACAGGTTAGGTGTCGTTGATCATTAATCAACTTCATAACCTTTCTGTTTTTCTTTTCTAGTGGCTTCCAGCTTTGCAATAAATATTTACAACTAGTTTGGAATAGTAGGAAGTAATTATTAAATGGTTTACTGATACAACATCACTTGAATGCTACAATTGTAGCTTACTGGAACAAGGATTACTAATTGTTGATTTACTTATGTGACTCATAGGATATTCAATGAGTAATGGAGATAAAAGTTGGATAGGTCTTCGAAGATCCACCGATGATTATATTCGTGGAGTAAATGATTTTCTTGACAAAGCGTTTGAACGATCTTCCCAAGAAAATAAAATATTATGACCCTATAAAAAGTGCTTTAATCGTTATTGGCATTATAGAAATGTGGTGGAGGATCACTTAATTGCTTATGGGTTTACATATGGATACACCGAATGGGTTTTTCACGGAGAGTTTTCCTCGAGAGATTGGCCACATCCAACCAATGATGATGATGGTTTCGATATGCATGACGATATTGATAGTCTGCTTCATGATACTTTTAGAAATGTAGAAGGTGACTTGAGCCATGAAGAAGTGAGAGAGGGACCATCTGAAGATGCAAAGAGATTTTTTAAATTAGTGGAGTAAGGAAAACAAGAGTTGTATCCAGGGTGTGAAAGTTTCTCTAAACTGGATTTTACCATTAGGTTGTTCTTGTTTAAATGCATTCATGGGTTGAGTAATGTGGCATTTTCTGACTTGTTAGACTTGATAAAAGAGGCATTTCCATTTGCTAAATTACCTGAGTCTTTTCACAAGGCAAAAAATGTGATAAAAGATTTGGGTCTTCATTATGATAAAATACATGCATGCCCTAACGATTGCATGTTATTTTGGAATGAGAATGAGAAAGCAGATAATTGCTCTGTGTGTGGATCTTCTAGATGGAAGAATGTGCGTGATGGCTTGACTAATAGGAACACTAAAGTTGCTGCAAAGGTTTTAAGGTACTTTCCTTTAAAGCCTAGGCTTCAGAGGATATTCATGTGTTCTGAAATAGCTGTAGCAATGAGATGGCATGCTACTGAACGACCCAAAGATGGAAATATAAAACATTCTGCTGATGGGGAAGCTTGGAAGGATTTTGACTTGTTGCACCCGAACTTCTCTAAAGATCCTCGTAATGTTAGATTGGGTCTTTCAAGCGACGGTTTTAACCCATTTCGAACCATGAGCATTTCCCATAGTACATGGCCAGTCATGTTAATGAACTATAATTTATCACCATGGATTTGCATGAAGCCGGAGTATATAATGTTGTCAATGATCATTCCAGGTCCATCATCTCCAGGAAAGGATATAGATGTGTACCTACAACCACTAATTGCTAAGTTGAAGGAACTGTGGAAAAAGTGAGTAGAAACATATGATGCTGAAACTAACCAAACATTTTTAATGCGTGCAGCCTTATTGTGGACAGTTAGTGATTTTCCAGCATTATCAATGCTTTCCGGATGGAGCACCAAGGCGAGATGGGCATGCCCCACTTGTAATTATGATACTTGCTCTCAATATCTCAAACATAGTCGTAAGATGTGTTACTTGGGGCATCGGGCATTTTTACCGCATGATCATCCATTTCGGAAAGATAAGAAATCATTCAATGGTGAAGAGGAGCATCGAGCCATGCCTACTCCATTATCGGGGGTAGAAGTGCTCGAAGAACTACGTGAATTCAATATTATCTTTGGAAAAGGCCAAAAGAAAAGGCCTCGGCGTAATGACGGTCCGTGGAAGAAAAGATCCATCTTTTTTGAATTTCCATATTGGGTACATAATAAATTGAGGCACAATCTTGACATGATGCATATAGAGAAGAACATATGTGATAGTTTTCTTGGGACTTTGTTAGATATACCTGGAAAGTCCAAGGATCATGTAAATTCTCGCTATGATTTGCAAGAAATGGGGATACGCAAGGAGCTTCAACCATTAAAAGATGATAAAAATGGAAAAGTTCATCTAGCTAAAGCTTGTTACTCCATGAAACCGGAAGAAAAAAGATTATTTTGCACCGTCTTAAAGAATGTCAAATTACCAAAAGGGTGTGCCTCAAATATATCACATCGAGTGCAAGTGGAGGAGATGAAAATATCAGGATACAAGAGCCATGATGCTAATTTCATAATGCATTACTTGCTCCAAGTTGCGGTTATAAAAGTGTTACCCAAGAATGTCTCTTTGGCCTTGATTAGGTTGGGAAATTATTTTAGAACCATATGTAGTAAAGTTATAAGGCAAAATGATCTTGATAAAATGATGTCTGAAATTATAGATATAGCATGTGACCTCGAAACAATTTTCCCGCCAACCTTTTTTGATATAATGACACATTTGCCTATCCATTTAGTGAATGAAATTAAGCTTGGCGGTCCGACTCATTTGCGTTGGATGTATCCCTTGGAGAAAAACCTGTGTAAGTACAAAGCATTTGTTCGTAATCGAACTCATCCAGAAGCATCAATAGTAGAGGGATTTTTGGCAGAAGAATGCTTGAACTTTTGTTCGAGATACTTACATGATGGGGTGAAGACAAGATTCAGTCGCTATCAAACTGAAGATGATGAAGGCATTCAAATAGAGGGAGATGATTCTTCACCTATATTTCCTAATATAGGCCATCCAATCGGAAGTAAGAATAAAAGGAAAGGCAAGACTTTTGACATGGATTTACAGTTATGGTCTGAAGCACATCGATATGTTTTGTTCAATACTGGAGATGAACAAGTTGAGGCATTTATCAAGTAAGATAAAATATATAACTGTCATTTGTAATTTAAACTTTATTTTTTTCATGATAAGATATTTTAAATTGTATCTCTTATGGTCTAATGATTAAATTTTATATTTATACTTACAGGGAACATAAGAATTTCATTAACAATCATACTAAAGGAAATGCATGGCTAAAAGCACGAATTCATAGTCGAGAATTCGAAAATTGGCTTAGAGAGAAAGTTAAAAATGTTGAAATGCCCAATCATTTAAGATAGCTAGCTAAAGGGCCTAACACAGTGGCTAAAAGATATACTGCATATTTCATTAATGGATATCGATTTCATACAATGGAACGAGATGCTCCATGTAAGACTCAAAATAATGGAGTGACTTTGTCAGCAACAACAGATAGTTTTGCTAGTGCTAGGGACCAAAATCTCATCGATGGAACGGTTATCTACTATGGAGCTATTCAGGATATAATTGAAATTGATTATTGGAACTCTTTTAGTGTTAAACTATTTAGATGTGATTGGTTTCATAATGAAATTGATGGATATGGATTAACGCGGGTGTACTTCAACAAAAAATGCAGTACAGATGATACTTTTGTACTAGCATCTCAAGTACATCAAGTTTTTTATGTGGAGGATCCAATTGAGAAAGATGTTTATTATGCAAGAAATAAAGTCCCTGTTGATTTATATGATTTGGAAGAAGAGAATTGTCCTAATATTGGAGAAACATTTTGGAGAGAGCATAATGATGATATTGGTTCATCAAATATATTACTCGACGTGGATGCCAGATGGTCGAGAGAAGATATACCTGCTGATATCATTGATATGCCTTCTCAATCACAAGATACAACTATGGAAACATCGGAAGAGGAGGATGAGTATGATGATACCGATTGGGATTGGATGGAGGCTGATGATTGATAAATGATCTTCTGAACTTATTTAAATATATAGTCGTCATTGTTTTTTAGTGAGTAATAATGCCATTTTTAGAAATATTCTGTGATTTTTTTCTTGTTTGTATGCTTTTAGACTTTTTGCATTTGTTTTTTCCTTACAGCTCTATATTGAATTGCTTCAATGTTACAGGGTTTATACCAGCAATTGTTACTGATTGTAGATTCAAGTAAGTTGCATAAAGTTTTTTTTTTCAAGTAAGTGGCACAAAATTTCTTTTCCATGCATTTTCTTCCTTTTTTTTCTTTGTTATGTTCCATTGTCTAACCTGATTAACTTTGATTTTCTTAAACTTACACAGATTTAGATGTCATGGGTCAAGAAGGGTCTTCTAGAAAAAAATAAAAATGGAAAAAACTCATCATATGTTCAAGCTGGAAGTTTATCATGTTTGGCAAAAAAAAAGAATGTCATTGACAACAAAAGAAACCGTTCAAGCTATACGGTCAGAGAAAGAGCATTTGCTAAAACTAATTGAAGAACAACCAACAATAGGAGAACGATCTGAAGCAAATGAACGACATATAGAGGAGCAATTTGTAGAGGGGCACATTGCAGATGAGCAGATGCAAATAGATTCTACCGCTCCTACAGCTAATGAACGATCCGAAGAACAAGGTAAGTCTACATAACTTAGAATCACCTCTGATTTTTTGTATTTTGTTGTAGCTTCTGGTCCTGTAACTCCAAAAAAAAAGAGGTAGGACACAAATGCGTAGTGTCCATAGCCGAAAGACGCGTAAGGTGATCACACTTAACAATTTGAATCAGCCCATTGGTCCTACTAAAGAAGATGTAAGAGAGTTTGGTAGCTTCCTCGGTACATTGGCAAGGACTGCAACTCTTTGCCCGGTGGATATATTGGATTGGAGGAAAATGGACACAAAAGACGATTTATGGACATATACCAAGGTTTGAAGTTTCGATCCAAATGTTCAGTTATTTGTTAAAAGTATGTTACAATTTCTACTAATCAAATGAAATCAAATTGTAGTTGAAGTATGATATTCCTGATGCTGCAAAAATATGGACTTTATTTTCAATTGAAAATGCTTGGAGAAGGCATAAAAGTCAACTGAAGAAAGATCATTATGATGCATATCAAAATGATGAAGTTTGAATGGCAAAAAGGCCCGATTATATACCAGAATATCAGTTTAAAGAGCTCCTGAAATATTGGAGTTCTGATAAACTACATGTAAATATAAACCATGATCTTGACAATAGTTACAACCAGTATATAAACCATGATCATGGTTCTGTGCATCTCATGGTTCTTCTGATATAGTTGCTAGTGCATATCTGTGCATCTCATGGTTCTTCCGACATGGTTTAAGGGCCTTTGAAGTGCATCTCATAGTTCTGTGCATCTGTGCATCTCATGGTTCTTCTGATATAGTTGCTAGTGCATTCTACTTTTTGAGCATGTCAGATATCAAATTCTAGCTGGTGGGGAAACTCTTAAAATGGAGAATTTACTTAGCTTCTAGGTTTCTCCATTAGATTCCACTCTAATTCTGATATGTTCAAGATATCTGCAACGGCCTTCAACTTAGAAAACTGTGGGGATTTTGTGGGGAAACTCTTATTTGCATAGATCATCTGAAATCAACAAGGAGAATCAAAAAAAGTTGACGGATCCACACACTGCTGGAAAAAACAAGTTTTGTTGTAATCCGTAATGAATTGGTGTGTACTATTATTTATTATTATATCTATTATATTTTTTAAAGATCTCTTATATCTATTTTCGTGCGACTAGGAAAAAACAAAGGAACCTGTATCACTTAAGGAGATGTTTGTGGCCACATGAGCAAGAAAACCTGGGCGTGCATACAAGCACTCAGACGAAAATACAACTAGTAAAATTGTATGAATATTATCTATATGCAAGTTTTAGATGAGATCATTTTATTTATTCTTCTTTCTTATTTTTTATTTACTTTAATTCTTTTGTTGAATTTGCTTTGTTAGGCTGAAATGGAAAAAATTGAAATATAACAAAGTGTAGATGACAGTCAGTCTGTTGATGCATTTTCATCTGTCATGGGTCCTGAACATCCAGGACGTTTAAGATTATATGGACGGGGGGTTACAAAGACTACTTTGAAAGGAAAAGTGGCCCATTTCATACCGACTTCAAATGCCACAAATTATACAGTGCAAGAAATGCAAGAAAGGATTCGAAAGATGGAGGAACAAAAGAGAACTATGCGACAAGAAATTACTGCAGATGTAATTGCTCAACTTCAGCGTGCAGGATTAATTAATCCAAACATACTAGCAACATTGTCTGTTTCGTCACTAGGAGAAGCTACCTCTGCACCACAAGCTGCTAATCAACTGATCCGTCGACCATCTGCAGGTAGCAACAATTAAGGTTAGCATCACTTTATTCCCAGGCTAAAAAATTTATTTTAGCAACTGCAGAGCTGCTGATATTTGTTAATATATGTATTGAATTTTACTGTGATTTGAGTTTTCATATTGGAGTCTAGATTGTTGTTGATTTCTAAACGTCCAAAAAGTGCCGAAATGCTGGCGAATATTTTTTAGAAAAATCCTGCCCAATTTTTCCAGTTTCTGCCCAAAATGCTGGCGAATTTATTTCTGCCTGTGTTGACTTCCGTTCATCTATATTTTGTAAAAGAATCTGCTTCTTGTTCATGTATTTTTTGTAGTAGAAACTGCTTGATCTGTCATTTTCTTGATTAAAGATGTGGGTTGTGGATTTTATGTGGTTCCTTAGATCAATAGAATGTTTTTTGGGTAGTTGAGGTATATGTACTTCATTATTTAATGTTGCACTATGTCACCTTTTATGTTCTGAAGTGTAGTCACATTGTATCATATACTTGTTGCTATTCTTGAGGGATGTAGTTTAGTATTCTTGCTGCTAGAGAAGTCAATTTGAATGCAATGCTGCTGATGACTTTTGTCTGTCATTTTCTTTTCTGTTTCTTCAATTTCTTTCCCACTTATGTGCATATATTGACAGTTGACATGATATGACAAGGTTTACTAGACTATTATAGGTGAAACCAGTCCAACATTGGATTTATAAAGGCATAAGAATTTAATTGTGGTTCTTAGATTGCTAGTATTATGGATGTTTTCATATTATCTTCCGCATCAGTTTTCTAGTACTTTGTCATTGTTTGTAAATTGTGTTTAAGTGGAACAGTTGAAACATAGTTGGAGTGTTTAAATGAAACATAGCTAAGTTGAGGTGTCCATATGAATTTTGGCGCCAAGTTAGAGGGGCCGCATATGGGTTTGGTCTTGTGTATTTGTCAATTTGTTTAATCTTACCATGTGTCATGACATTAATATACATATCTTTAAATGAAATCCTTTTATAGAACTTTTGCTAAATTGTTTGTTTTTTGATTATTTGTAGGTGGAGAACTTGAAGTAGGCGACCAAAGTGATGAAGATCTTACTTAGGAGTATTAGGTTGATTCATGATGAAACTAGAAATATTTTATTTTTGTACACTTTGGAAACTTATGTGTTCCAATTCACTGGCAGATATTGTTAAATGTTTTACTTTTATGAATATTACACCTATTATGGATTCTGATTTTGTTTAAAAATGAATTTTTCTCATAAATTATATATATTTCAAGGTATGTTACATATTGCTGGTTTGTATAACTGTTGCAATAGAGATATGATAGGTGTTGCAGTAGCCCATAAAATAATCGTCGCAATATATCACTATAACCGTTGCAATAGCATGAGCCCCAATCGCATAAGCCAAAAGTGACCGTTGCAATAGTATAACGTAATCGTCGCATTAGCATTAAGTAACCGTGCAAAATTATAAAATAATTGTAGCAATAGCCTGAACAACAGTTGATAATGAACTCTATTGTAACGGTTTTTAACCGTTCTATAGAGTAAAGAATCGTCGCAATATCATTCATAGAATAACCGTTGCAATAGGCCATCTTATGCATCGGCTATAAAACCGTTACACAGAACCGTCCCTATAGCTCTATTGCGACGATACCTGTTGTAGCGGCCGCAAAACCGTTGCAATACCTCTACGGCAACAGTTTCAATTCCTGCCGCAACCTGTTTCGGAACTGTCACCATAGGACTAATTTCTAGTAGTGTCTAGAGCTGAAGTTTTTGTTTTTGTAACTGGCGAACTTCAGCTCTAGAGCTAAAGTTTTTATTTTGTAACTCGCGAACTTCAGCTCTAGACTGAAGTTTTTGTTTTGTAACTGTCTAGAGTTGAAGTTATTTAGTTCATTTGTAAAAACTTCAACACTATTTATGTTTGTTTGGGATCTTGGTCATCTATATTTTGTTTGTAATTATGCAACAAGAAAAGAGAACGAGAGTATGCACAAATCTAATAACTCATCATCATTCACTGATTAGTAAAGTCACCAATTTCAACAAAAATCTTGCAACTGAAACTAATGTGTCTCTGAACTAATTGGTTACATCAACAAGTAACGTAGTCTAAATTTACTATTACATAGCTTTGAAAGAAGAAAAAAGGGAATGATAATACAAGGGTCAAAATACAGATGACCAAGATCCCAAACAAACATATACACCAAGAATCTACTCATCTAATATAGTTACAGCTAGTTATTTAGTTCATTTGTAATTATTTATAATTTGTTTTTAAATAATCTGATAAACATATTTATGGCAATCATCCCATGAACTGAAGTTCCATAGCAGCACCAACAGCAGCAGAAGAAAGAAGAAGAAGAAGAAGAAGAAGAAGAAGAAGAAGAAGAAGAAGAAGAGAAGGAGAAAGGGGGCTGAAGTTATTTAAAAAGTGGGTAAAAGTTAAAAGTTTTTAAAAAAAATGGGTATAGGTTAAATGGGGGCGACCAAATAGGACGCCCCGTGCAATTTTAACGGTTTCACCCGTAGAAAACTTTAGCATTTCATCTTCAAAGAATTTTAAAACTCCAAGAACAATTTCTAGAGTGTTGAACCAAAAAAATTTCATACTCCAGTAATTGTTCCTGGAGTTCTTTCATGTTTTAGGTGGGAGTATATTGGGAGAAATTCAAAAATAGCCAGATTTACAACTGGTCATTCAAAAATAGCTCAATTTCAAAAGTAATCGAAATTTAACCACTTTTCATGTAAAGATAAATCTGAGCGAAAACATTGTTCAAAACCCGAAAAATACGTCAGTATATTATACTGGAGTTCCAGCATAAGTATGTTTGAACTCTAGCATATTATACTGGAGTTCCAGGATAAATATGCTGGAACTCCAGCATAATATGATGGAGTTCCAGCATAATATACTAGAACTCCAGCATAATATACTGGAGTCCAGCAAGTATAATTGTCCAGTATAATATACTAGAGTTTGGAGCACCGGTGCTCCAGTCTCCAGTATATTATACTGGAGTCAGCTATGTATACCGGTCCAGCATAATATGCTGGAGTTCATACACAGGTGCACCGAACTCCAGTATATTATGCTGGACCGGTCTCTGTTGCAGCAAAATAGTGGCTATTTTTGAACGACCAGTCCGAAAACTAGTTATACCATGCTATTTTTACGAGTATATTCGTCTAGACATGTATTTTTGCATTAACAAGGCTACTTCGCCAATACAATTTAAAAGTTGGTCGTAAAAATAGCACGGTATAGTTAGTTTTCGGATTGGTCATTTAAAAATAACCAGCGTTTACGAAGTTAATGAAAAATAGCCACTATTTTGCTGCAACAGAGACTAGTCCAGCATAATATACTGGAGTTCGGTGCACCTGTGTATAAACTCCAGCATATTATGCCGGACCAGTATGCTTTGCTGATTCCAGTATAATATACTGGAGACTGGAGCACCGGTGCTCCAAACTCCAGTATATTATACTGGACAATTATACTTGCTGGAACTCCAGTATATTATGCTGGAGTTCTAGTGTACTGAACTCCATCATATTATGCTATAGTTCCAGCATACTTATCCTAGAACTCTAGTATAATATGTTGGAGTTCAAGCATACTTATGCTGGAGTTCAAGCATACTTATGCTGGAACTCCAGTATAATATACTGGTGTATTTTCCGGGTTTTGAACAGTATTTTCGCTCAAATTTATCTTTACATGAAAAGTGACTAAATTTCAATTACTTTTGAACTGGGCTATTTTTGAACGACCAGTTGTAAATCTAGCTATTTTTGAATTTCTCCCAAGTTGGCCGAACTCTAGTAGCCGAATCAAAAAGTGTCTATTTATCCATCATTCACAACTGGTCCGCTTAATTAGAAGTTCATTGCATAAATGGTAGTTAAACTCATCGTGTCTTTATCCCTTACAGAAAAAGATGAACATAAGAACATTGACATTCTCTACGAGATATTTTGAATTTTGCCTGAACATCAAGAATCATGAATTTCATGATATACATGAACTCCAAATATTCAACTTTGGCAGCTGACTAGCTAAAAGTGTACTCGCATGCAGCATTCGTAAATTCTACACATGCCATAAATATCATATTTTCACATCATAACTGGCTCATGCTCGGTGGTGCTTGTATTTCCTGGTAACAAAATTTGTAAGAATAAAAGTGATTTTTCGAGCTGGGCTCCGAAAGCACATGTGGATAAGCATTAAGCAGGCATTTAGAAGACTATATAAAAGTGGGTCCGATCAAAAAAGATACTCTTAACAAAAACATTAAGCTAGAACTGATCAAGATCAATAGGAAGCTAATAATACATTCTTGGTCTTGCCTGGGAGTTCGAGTCTCATCTCTGACATAGTCAAAGGAAAAGAGGACCTTTGATGAATTGCCTGATATACTCACACACTAAGTACTGAATCCTAGATGTAGCATGCTGCCTTCGTGTGAATCTTGAAATGATCATTGTTCATTACAGCATCTTATAAGCCCTTGTTCCATCATATGAAGAAAAGACGATCGATGGTCCATTGTCATGATTCTAAGTTACTCATACCTCCATCGACACGGAAATATGATTTGAATACCTGACGAAGAATCTTTCGTTTTGTTGAATCAAGCATGTTTGCTCTATGTCCCCTATAGACTCCAAGCCTCAGCATTTCTTTCCCCTCTTTGACAGCTCGTTTTCTCACATCTGTCAGTGAACTCGCTTCCATGGAATCCACACTTGTCTTGCATTCAGATTTCTCTGCTACATTTTCTGCTTGCTCCTTGCTGTTTTTGGCATTATCATCGTTCGGTCGGCTATCCTCGTTATTATCAGGACTCTTGTTTCCCCACCACCTATATGTTACAGTAGACAAGCCATCCGATGGAAACCCATACTTGAATTCATCATAATTGACTGAAGTTCCTCTTGTCAAGTTAGAGACACGGAAATGCAGTAAACTTCCAGATTGAGCAATCCTGGTACCTTGCTGCTGTGAGAAAGCTCCCGCTTTCAGCATTTCCACTGTGGAGCTAATACTCTTGTTTTGCAATGGGGAGCCCCTACATTAAAATATTCTCAATAGACGCTAATGATTTATACACTTCTGTTTTGTAGTACAGTAGTTTGAAGATAATGCAATTGATATTACAAAACTCAGGATTGGCTCAGAAAAAAATCCATGTAATATTTAGTAGGGTAATAAGAGAATACATTTATTATAAGCTAAATCGTCTAAAATTGTAATATGGACGGTTTTGTTATTAAGGAAAAATAATCTTACATTTGGTTAACTACGTGGATGGACTGAAATTGGAATCAAACTTTTGGGGACAATAATGTTCTTAATCTATCAAAGTTTATGTTATTTAATCTACACCTAATTCTTAAATAAAGATAAAAACTATAAATAATTTAACACATGAAATAAGACATAATAAATGTGTAAAAAGTTAAGAGTTAAGACATTAAATAAACAAATTATAATCAAATAATTTTTATTATATATATAATTGAGGGACATTAAAGAGGTGATGTGGCAGCCTCTAAAGCCAGAATTTGTATTTATCGTTTTCCTCAATTGTTTGTTATTTTCTCCTTATGTTGATTTTTAAAAAACCCAAAAACCACCTCTGTAATGTTTGGTCCATACTAAAAGACCGAAAAGTCACGTCTATTACACATCAATTCCTCATAAATAAATCAATGTGTAAAGATCAGTTTCAATAAAACAATCGTTTTCACCTATTCAAAGCCGATCAAAATGCCTTATTAATAAAGAACCGTTTCCCTTTTTTTTAGAACAAGCCTCACAAATTTTTCTATCAACTATAAATCCCATAAGCCACCATCAGAAAAATAGGAAAGAAACTTGAAAAAGAATAAGGAACAAGAGGAACTGTTATGAAGAAGACTTGGAAGAACGTAACATTCACATTTTTTCATTTTTCTTACATTTTTGAATGTGGTATGTCTGCTTCCATTATTTTGTCCCTTTCGGTTTGATTCTTTTGTTTTAACTTTTGCTATTTAATTTCTATTTATAAATTAGGATGTGTCAGTATATTGAGTTAACACATTGCTAATACTGATGGGTAAATTAATTTTGTACTTTCCCTTTCGGTTTGATCTTTCGTAGAAATTTTTGCTTTACTGATGGGTTTTTAATTAATTTTGTTCTTTTGTGTTTGAT